AGTCAATACCTTCTCAAACATTTTGGGAATAGCGGATAACTTCGCTATACCTCTATAATTTTTTGCTTCAGACTTGCTACCTTTTTTATGGCGAGGAATTATAAACGATTCCTTCCAGATCGGGGGGAAGCAAGAGAATCAAAGAACAGGGTGAATAGTTTGAGCAAGGGTCCACACAGCGCCTCGGCGCAGTACCTGAGTACACAACCTGGAAATCCGTCTGGACCCGGTGAAAACTGATAGCGAGAATGGGTGTGCGGACGTTCTACGCTTACTGTTTACGAAGCAGTAAAACTGTTTAGGGTCCTGAGAAAAACGGCGTTACTGTTCGTATGCGGGCGGCGTAAGCGACTTAGCAATGACGAAAGTCACTGAAGAGGGAATAGTCAACTTCACACATATGTACATATGTATGTCACTGCACTCGTACAATTTCACTCACCCGATGGGTTCGGCCTTCGCTTAATAAACGTAGGAATGGTCGGCTGATCTTTTGACTAGATCTTAGCCAAGATGGACACGCGGTAATTACGGTCGAGGTTAGAATTGTTTCTTTCACTGCACTAACTTGAGTATTTTCTTCAGACGTCCGTCTGGGATCGCGAGTACAATTGGAAAGAACATGTCCAAGCCACTCTCCTTCCGCTTGAGCCCTTGGTTCTCTCATTCCCCTTTTCTCACCACACCTTGACAGTAGCCGCTGTTAACTTATGTCATTTTTTTTTTCCTGCGCGTAACTTCCCAAAAGGTGCAAGGTGCATGTCTAAGGGAAGGGGAAACCGTGAACGGTTTTCCGATATTTTTGGTTGGACAGGCGCCACTACAACTAATCTAAAAAAATGTACCCAGTAACAGCTTTGCAGTCTTCGAGGCATATTCACCAAACTTGCGGGTATTTATGTTTTCTTTGCAGTGTAAAACATTAAAAATGACACCTAATATTTTGATACCCTGGTTATCTCTGCACTAATTTAGTTTTTTTCGAAGAATGTCCGTGATGAGTTTCCATCGATTGTGTTTCCAAATACTTATTTAGGGCAGTCCACCTTCAGTAATAGTTTGCATACGAATTTTTCTTGAACGATTTTTTTCCTAGTCTTTTGCATTTCCTTGACTGGCGTGTTCAAAAGATTCTGCCTCTCCCGGAATGGTATGTGGTTTAAAATCAGCTCCATACATCTAATTCTTGCATGCAAAACCTGGTCAAAAAGACAGGTTAAGGTTATTAGCCTGCATATTCATCCAAAATCCAACAACATAATTGAGGTGGCGTGAAATTGATTCATTCGTACCTAACTTTTGTGCAGTTTTTCAATTTTGACTGGACTTTACAAAAATATATCCCTAAATTTTTCCGAGATTTTTTTTCTATATGTTCTTTGAACTATTTAATACCAAAGTCTACAAGCGCATTCGGCGCTCCGAGCCGTTTGGCTTCTATACTGATTTATCTGCTACAATCTCGCTCGAAAAACGGTTTGCGTAATTGTATCCAAAGCGTTAAAAAAATCTCATTGGTTCTCGTTCAAAAATCGCGGATTTCAGATTTCAGCACTAGAATCAGTGCCGGCGTTGCCCAGAGAATACAGACAATCTATCGTGCGTCTTGATTAGCTTGCTGACCGTTCGTACCATAAGCCGCGTCGGAGTCGGAGTCTGGAGTCGGAGTTTGGAGTCGTTGGGCGATTCTTACTTGCCAGCTAAGTAGCACTTGAAAAATTTGCAGTCCAAGTTCACGTAAAATCCAGTTCCTATTCAAAATTTTTGGCATTTATGAAGAAAAAAAATTAGACTGAGAATTTCAAATTATATTTTTGACCATTTGCAATTTTATTTTCAATATACATACTGTTATTCACACTTGGTTAGACATTTTAAATACACAGGTGTTGCATCTAAAAGGTCTAGATCTTCTTAAATCGCGTAATAGAAAAAAATACAAAATAAATTAAACTGAATAAAGAAAAGGTTTTATCACGCTGTTTGTTGACGAAGCAATAAGGTCAGCTATTTTTGTTTGCCAAAATTGATGAGAAAATACAACATATCAATACAAAAATTTTGTGAAAACGGGAGCACCTAAAAACGAAAACGAAACATTTTGGCTGAAACGTAATCCGCAAAAGTAAAGAAATCCCGGAGCCTGCCTGAATAACTTATCAAATCTTCCAATATAGATAAAATTACCTTTAAAATTACCAGGCAACGCCTCCAAATCTGGGGCCGTACGTTTGTCAAGTCTCCCACTTTTAATAGGCCTGCCGTGGTTTATTTTTCAATTTTTGCTTTTATTCAGGTGTTTTCAGTTACAAAGATCGGGGCAGGGTATTCGATTAAGGGGCTAAAAAACTTTTTCCGCTTCAGTTTTACTTTTCGCCGCTGTCTTTCTTTTCGTTCTTGTTCTTCCTTGCCCTTCTTATGTCTGCCATTCGCGCTGATTAACACTTTTCTGAGTGCTATTAATGTCTGTGCTCTTAGCCGCAGTGATATTTAGAGCTGCCTATGCGGTTTCTGCCGTAACAGCCTTACTATGTTTGTCGATGTTGCTTTGTACGCTTTATTTTTAATTAAAATTTGATTTGTCAGGCTTATGTATATGAACTTTACACTGAATAACCTTATATTCGGTGGCCGAATTTGTTCAGGCTATGACATATATTTTTATTAATATTATTAAAAAATAATACATATTTAGGTAAAATACGCGTAACTAAAATAAAAAAAAAAAACATAATAATAAACAACTTTTTTAGTTTTAATTATATAATCTTGCGAAAGAAAATTTTTGTTCGAAACTCCCTCATGAATCTGATGGATAAATATTCTAGAATAAAAAAAAATATATGTATATATTAGGATTTGGATTTTTCTTGGCTCGAAAGTAGTATAAAACAATAAAATATAAAGTTATATATTTTAGCTGAAAGTTAAAAATACAATTTTTCTATGATTGTCCTATTATAGTAGAGCTCACTCTGTTCCGATAGAATTTATTTTATGTTCTCAAATATTAAAAAATACAAAGACCAGTCAAATTTAATTTTGTCACACAAACACAATAATGTTTCTTTGTAATTCTTTGATTAAGAATCATTAATGAAATATATTGACGGCCATGGTAATATTTAATGGGCATTACTAACTGGTAAAATTAACATTGGTTAAAATAAAGTATTCTATTTAATTTAATATAATTCATAATTCGAATTGGCTACGCAATTGCGTATAATAAGAATCCGATCTGATCTTGTTTCGGCAATCTGGTGCATATTGTAATTTTCTATGATTCTGGATGTTTTGTATCTTCCAAATTGTGGATGCCACAGATTTTCGTCTTTTGTGGAGTGGGCAGGGCATAATTCCGAAATAATCTTGTAACAGTGTGATGTCAGAAGAGTTCGGATACACAATTTGTTTTCTCTAGCTATTGTAGTCCGTAACATCTAGGAGCTCATCGAGACGGACGGACAATTTTGATTAAGAATATTGTCAATTTAAAGTTTACAATAAAATAAAAAAGAATCGTACTTCAAATTTATTGTAATAAAACTGATTCTTCCCGCTTTCGCTATATTCATTACTTGCTCGTATATTCAACCTTCTTCGGAAATCTCAATTTATGAGCAGAATTTGTCCGCTTTAACCGCTGTTTCTTCCTCGCTATCAGATAAAGATCGTATGATCCAAGAACTAGGTGACTTGCCAGGAGCTGTTTGGTCTTCGGTAAAAGAGTCTAGTATCCTAGTGGCCATGACAGGACATGACTTTGTTGACGGCTTGATTGAGCTATCCCTGTCTCAAGTCAATCATGTGAAAAATTCCTTGGGTCGATTGCTTGATCTATGCTTTGTATCGGATCCGACCATAGTGTTTTTAACCCGAGCCCTTCCGCTCACTATACCTGAAGACACCATCCTACTGTCGCTAGATATAGGACCAACGGTATTGGATCGGTCGAGTAGGCTACCTGAACGCTGCTTTCGTAAAGCCGAGTTTGCGAAGCTTAATAACTTCATTAGGGATTTTGATTGGTACGCCTTGTACTTGTGCACTGATGTTATAAGAGGCACAAACGATTTGTACAATGCACTTGGCCAACTGGAACTGGAAAACCCCCTTGCTTTACCAAAGAGTTATCCAGTCTTAAAAATGTAAAATCAAGACTATAAAGATGTTTAAGAAGTTCGTTTTCCTACTTCTCACTCTCGCTATATAATAGCACGGTCAAACTTTTCAGTTCTTAATGCTCAATGCTATAACAACTACATATCTCGATGCAGGATACGTTTTTCCCAGGACCCTAAACAGTTTTACTGCTTCATAAACAGTAAGCGTAGAACGAGCGCATACACATCCTCCCCATGATTTTGTAATACGCAGGAAAATAATGATCAGGCAATTGCCGATCTTTTTGCCCAATTTTTCCAAATTTTTGCCAAATTTTTCATCCGTACCAATACACATAGACAACCCTGATCTGTTGAGCCGCATAAACTTCACGATTCCCATAAGAGTTACTAGAAATTTAATACCGTTGTTCCTTCCATTTTGTAGATCGAATTATTCCTTGCATGAACCGTTTAGGGTCTTATGCTCGGATTATAATTCCCTCTACCATATTATATCTACCACTAATTCTTTTCCTCTTATTAAATTACTAATCCTTACACACCTTTCTAGTAATTAGTAATTTTAGTGGCATTTGTATTTTAAATGCATGCCAAGCTTAGTGCTAATTTTCCTCGAAAATTTGTCTAACAGCTATCTTGCCTGCATGCTCGCGTAACAGCATTCTGCTGGTTTGAGACGGGCCACTTGACGGTGCAGTAATTGCATCGCCTCTTGCAAGATGCAGTCATTGCATGTCAACGTCTAAGAAAATTCAAAACATTTTAAGCGCTGATAGGTTATATATTTATGACAACATTATGACCCTAGAACGCAAGGGCTAGATTTTAAGTCGAGTAATTTTTATATGCAAATCAATCTTATGTACTTACATTTGTAAATATGTGCATCCAAATCACCATCTGCCGTTTATACCCGTCTGACAAATAGTTCGTCCTATGGGCCAGATTTAATTAGAATGATGTAATATAACAACTAATCTTATCTTCCAATTTTGATATATATACATGATATAAAACAGGGGTATATTAGTTATGTGGGGAAAGTGGATGTGTGTAACGCCCAGAAGGAAGCGTTTCCGACCCCATAGTGTATGTCTATTCTAGATCAGCATCAATAGCCAAGTCGGTGTAGCCATGTCTGTCTCTTTGTCTTTCGTCGGTCCAAATGAGCGCCTAGATGTCGGAGACCATAAGAGCAAGAGAAAATAAATATTTTATTCAGATTCCTGTGATATCACATTGTTACAAGTAACAAGTAACCCTTCAACCTCCACAAAAGATGAAAATCTGGGACCTCTTTGAAGGTACGAAAAATCTATAAACGCAGAAATATAGAGAATGCGAATGTCTATCATGTTGCTTGATCTAGATAATATCGGATTATTATTATAGCCAGAAGCAACCAATGAATCTCCAGTGGTTACGCAACGCCTTCCACGCGATTACTTATACTCTATCTTTCTATCTCTCACACACACTCTATTTCGTTTAGTGTACGGACTCTGACGGAGGAGAAGCATACTGACTGAGTATCGGGTATAAATGTAGAGCCCTGACCGTAGCGGCGACTTACGACGTTCTCCCTCGTTTTATAACTTTTTTCGTACAAAGAAAGGGCGTAAGGGCCGCGGCTCCACATTTATTCCCGATACTCAGCTATTATTGATTGAATCTCACTCCCCTCCGCTAGTGGGCCTGTGTCAGAGAAATAGAATGAGTAAACGTAGCCACTGAAGTTTAATTTGTTCCTTCTGGCTACAAAAATAAGCTGATCTAAACCAGATACTGCATTCTGGCAGATATAATATTTTTCCAGTGATCTGTGTTTTCGATTTTATTGTATCTTTAAAACTGTGGGTGCAACAGGTTTTCGTCTTTTATAAGGGCGGAAAGGTCGTGGAAAAATTTTGAACAAACTTGTTTCAGTGTGATACCACAGGAATCTCTACACCTAATTTGGTTGCTCTAGTTTTTATAGTTTCTGAGAACTAGGTGTCAAACAAGACGTCAATAACAAACATTTGTGAAAGCTGGAGCACCTTGAAACTAAGCTTTTTGGCTGAAAACGTAAATCGCAAAAAGTAAGCGACCCGGAGCCTGCTTGTATATACAAAATTTGGTTGCTCTAGCTCTTATAGTCTCTCTCATCGGGACGGGCAGACAAACATGGCTATATCGACACGGCTATTGAAGCTGATCAAGAATATGTATATTTTATGGGGTCGAAAAACATTCATTGTGGGTGTTTTACACATTTACACAGTTCCACCACAAGTCTAAAAAAAGCCATATAACAGAAAATTATTTAGTTTATCGAAAAACATTATCTTTCCTTTAAAATTCGCGATGAAAAAGCTTTTAAGTCAGAAGTTTACTGAAAAGTTGTTGCTGTGCTAACACTTTTGTCTGGCACGGAATGTATTTACTACGTACGTATTAAATTAAAAAATTTGTATAAATTTCAAGTGCAATTTTATAACCTGACGCACGATATTATCGTCTTTTTCGATAAAGATCGATGACACTTAAACGTCTTCTATAAAATAAAGAAGAGAAATACAATATTGACTATTATTTTACTTTACTTCACTTATCGCTTCTTTAACTTCTTTTCACTTTTTTAAAAAACATTCCCGTCGTTGCAAAGCCACATTCAATGTCTATATTTAAAACGATTTCGTAAGCGCTGATAAGCGTCTATGTACAGGTTTACATATGTACATATGTATCAAAGCCTACGATTTATCAATTAATGAGCGAGAAAATATAGTTGAGGAGTAGCCGAGGAATTCATACCCTGTTAACTATTTTTGCTATGAAAACATTTAAAACACATATTGCACATTGTCAGTTCGATGGGTTTTTACTTTGGGTTGAACTAAAGCGCACTATTCTCCTCTTCTTAATTTTAGTTAGTCTTAATTAATTTTGTCTCTTTAAATATGACATTATTAGGGATACCTAGCTAAGTCTGTCAAAAATATACCGTTGTTTGTTATTCGTCAACGTTAAAATTAATCCTCGAATCTAGAATGTTTTAATATACACAGTATGCATTATTTTCGAAAAGTATATATTTACTTTGATACCAAAGGGTATTTGTATTTTATATAAAAAAAAAGAAAGAAAATTCTATCTTTTTGATCACCAAAAGCTGACCTAGCCATTTATTCCGTCTGGTGCGAATCATTAATTGAATATAAATACTATACATTCTTGTTAAGGCAATGTCTAACAAACGATCTTGGATTAAAGATTCTACCAATTCGAGACACAAAATACTTATTACACCCGATACTCAAAATGAGTATTGTGGTATATTAGATTTGTGGTGACATTGGATGTGTGTAACGTCCAGAGGGAAGTGTTTTCGACCCCATAAAGTATATATATTCTTGATCAGCATCAATAGCCGTGCCAAAGGGCGGAAATCTGTGGCATCCACAATATTGAAGATACGAGAAAACTAAAAACGCACAATCATAGAAAATATCATATCATATCTACCAGATTGCCGAATCTGGATCAGATCGGATCATTTTTATAGCCAAAAGGAACAAATCAATTTTCTACGCAGTCTACGTGTCTCTCCCGCACGAACTCTTTATCGCTCAATGTAGCCATACTACCTATGTATCGGGTATAAATGTAGAGCATAACGTTCCACCTCGTTTTTATACTCTGTACTCGAAGAGTATATTGGTATATTGATTAGTGGTAATAATGGATGTGTGTAACGTCCAGATGGAATCGTTTTCGACCCCATAAAGTATATATATTCTTAATCAGCATCAATAGCCGAGTTGATTGAGCCCTGTCTGTCTGTCCGTCTATATGAGAGCATAGTGCTCAAAGACTATAAAAGCTAGAGCAACGACATTTTATGTCCGGAGTTCTTTGATATGTTACTCTTACAAGTATGTTTCAAAACTTTGCCCCGCCCACTTTCGCCCCCACAAAGTGCGCAAGTCTCTGACATTCAAAATTTCAAGGATACGAGAAAACAGAAAACGCTGAATCGTAGAGGATGATTAAATCTTCTAGAATGCAAAATCTGATCTAGATCGTATAATTATTATAGCCAGAATCAAGAAAACAATTTCGTTCTCTCTCGCTCTGTCTCTCTCTAACACACAGGTTTCATGGTCAGTTTTGCCTATTGCAAAATATGAGTTGAAGGATCTCAGAGACTATAAAAGCTAGAGCAACCAAATTTGGTATCCACACTCCTGTTAAATCTCACTATAAAATGTATATCTAAAAATTTCGCCTCACCCCCTTCCGCCTCACAAAGGACGAAATTCTGTGGCATCCACAATTTGGAGATACAAGAAAACTAAAAACTCACAATCATAGAGAATGACTCTATCTATGAGATTGCTGAATCTGGATCAGATCGGATCATTTTTATAGCCAAAAGGAGCAAAACAATTGGCAGTGGCTGCGCAGCTATGCGTTCGCGCTTTCTACCCCCTCTTTCACCCCCTCCCACATTAACAAATAATTTGTCTACAAAGAGACCAAATAGAGAGAGAGACACAGCATGCCCAGAAATATCACTTGTCCAAAACAAAACGATTACCGCACACCGCCCGTTACGACAAGAGCTATGTGCATACATATATATGGATGTAAATGTAAAATAATAATCATAAATATGTAAATAAATAAACATTATATAGTATGTATAAAATTTATAATTTATACATGTGTATATGTATATATGTTTCTGACAACCTGTTTGTTACTCGCGTCAAATTTAATTTGTATTCCTTATTTGACTAAATAAAATATATAAAACATATATATACATTTAAAAGTATATATTTTAAATATATATAACATACATATAGTGACATATCCATAATTCTCCACATCCCATACTCATTATGTTTATGTCCAATTCATCCACACAAGTACCCCATCCTCACAAGTAACAGGACACCACTGAAGAATCAATAACTGATTCTTCCCACACTCCAGCTAGAGTCCACTAATCTAAACAATGGACCCTATTGATTCATCAACGCCAGAATCACGCCACCCTCAAGAAATTGATCCGTTAGAATCATGCCACTCATGAGGACCAATCAGAGCTAGTCATAAAACCAAGGAGTATCACATACCTAGCTCACTCATGTAATGCAACACCGATCGCTAGCAGCGGATGCCTTTGATCAAAAGCCGACGCATCCCCAAACATCGGTCCAGGCACGTACGCCACCGACACGAAGATGCAGCCAAGGAAAGCAGCACCCGAAGCCAGAGTCGAGAGAAGGGCTCATGGAAACTAGCAAACAATAGAGAAGTCTGTTCCGTTTGAGACAAGCAGACGTAAAGTTAGGTCGGGGAATTCAACCAATCTTGTGACATAAAGAAATTAAGTAGTAAAAATAAACCTTTTTTTAAAAATTAAATTTCGAGTTGCGGATTTTTAACTGGCGCAGTCGTTAGGATTTCGTTTAAAATTAACACCTATATTTCGGTAATGGTCAGCTTGTGTAATTTATAATTACTGTGATCACGTTATCCCGGAATCGTTAATAAAATTGTGAAATCCGCCAAAGAACCTATGTATGTGTTACGAGCACATACGATTTGCAAAACTAAATTTAAGCGAACTAAAGTAAGAGGAGATAGTGAATCACCAAGGACAGTGAAACACTAAATACAAAATCAAACGAGGGGGAACGTTGTGAGTTGCTGCGGACACCGCAACTCTACAGTTATACCCGATACTAAGTCAGTATGGCTTTCCTCCGGCAGACGCCGCTAATATTAAACGACACGACAAAGAGTGCGTGCGAGAGAGACAGAAAATCAGTCTGAGCGTGATGTCACGCGCTGCGTAGCCACTGCAAATTGATTTGTTCCTTTTGGCAATCTGATAGATATGGTCGTTATCTATGATTCCCCGTTTTTAGTTTTCTCGAATCTGCAATATTGTGGATGCAACAGATTTTCGTCCTTTGTGTGGGCGGAAGGGGGTGGGGCGAAATTTTGAGATACACGTTTTATAGTGAGATCTAAGAGAAGTGCGGATTCCAAATTTGGTTACTCTAGCGTTAATAGTCTTTGAGATTTGTGAATATCCCCAGATTTGCATCCTTTGCGGGGGCGGAAGGGGGTGTGGCGAAATTTTGAAACAAACTCGTCTCGGTCTGATATATTAGGAGTGTGGATACCAAATTTGGTTGCTCTAGCTTTTATAGTCTCTGAGATCTAGGCGCTAATGTTTTACTCTAAGCAAAGCCGCCTATGCTACCTGTGTGTTAGAGAGAGACAGGGCGAGAAAAAATGAAATTGTTTTCTTGATGCTGGCTATAATAGTAATACGATCCAATTCAGATTCTGCAGTCCAAAAGATATGGTCATTCTCTACGATTCTGCGTTTTTTGTTTTCTCATATCTTTAAAATTGTGGATGCCACAGATTTTCGCCCTTTGTGGGGGCGGAAGTGGGCGGGGCAAAGTTTTGAAATATTTTTGTAGCAGTGACATATCACAGAAGTCTGGATCCAAAACATCGTTGCTCTAGCTCTTATAGTCTTTGAGCATTAGGCGCTGAAGGGGACGGACAGACGGACAGACGGACAGACGGACGGACGGACAGACGGACAGACGGACAGACAGACATGGCTCAATCGACTCGGCTATTGATGCTGATCAAGAATATATATACTTTATGGGGTCGGAAACGATTCCTTCTGGACGTTACACACATCCACTTTTACCACAAATCTAATATACCCCAATACTCATTTTGAGTATCGGGTATAAAAACTTACAAGTGAACCAAAATAAAGTTCAAAACTACAACAAAACAAAACCCAATCAACACCAACAAATACAACATGGCGTTACCATCACCAACATTGAGCGAACTCCACTTGAACCAGGCACTGCTGTCGATCCGACAAATACCTGCTTTTGATGGTTCATCTGGACAGTTGAGTTCGTTCATCAACCGAATCGAATATGTATGCAGTTTATATCCAACTGAAGATCTTCGACAACAAAGGATCCTATTTGGAGCGACCGAGATCCAACTGACAGGAGAGGCACAACGCATATCGCAGATGATACAACCCAACACATGGCACGAACTGAAGACGGCGCTAATCAACGAGTTCAAAAATAAAACACCATATGAAGAACTCTTACGACAACTATACACCACCAGATTCAACGGCAGTCTTCGTAAGTTTATAGAAGAATTAGAAATAAAAGCATTATTAATAAACAATAATCAAAACTTAGAAAACATACCAGAAAATAATGTCATTTATAAAAATGCTTTGAATAACACAATTAAAGTCGAATTCTCCTTACTGCTCGCCCATATCTATGATTCCGAAGAAGATAGATGCTTCAGGAAAGCAGAAATATCGAATGGTAGTAGACTATAGAAGTCTAAACGAAATAACAGTTAAGGACAAATTCCCAACTCCACGAATGGATGAAATCCTAGATAAACTAGGTAAATGTCAGTATTTCACGACAATCGATTTAGCAAAGGGTTTCC